ACAGAAGTTGGTCCAATAATAGACATTACCTCACCCACCTTGTCTCTCTAATATTGTTTAATACAAAACTGGAATACAAAACTGGATACTACTACAATGAGGGCGGTAAAAGAATCAGAATGGAATGTAATAGAGGTGACAGTACAATACATTAATATTTTGACATTTCTGCGAATATTACCAACCAACAACAAATGAAGCCTGCTCTATACATATTCATTCCTGTGCTGTGCTAATTAGAACATAAGAACGGCCATGCTGGGTCAGACCAAAGGTCCACCTAGCCCAGTATCCTGTCTTCCGACAGTGGCCAATGCCAGGTGCCCCTGAGGGAATGAAAAGAACAGGTAATCATCAAATGATCCATTCCCTGTCACTCATTCCCAGCTTTTGGCAAACAGAAGCTAGGGACACCATCCCTGCCTATCCTGGCCAATAGCCATTGATGGACCTAGCCTCCGTGAATTTCTCTAGTTCTTTTTTTAACTCTATTATAGTCTTGGCTTTCACAATATCCTCTGGCAGAGTTCCACAGGTTGACAGTGAGTTAGGTGAAGAAATTCTTCCTTTTGTTTGTTTTAAACCTGCTGCCTATTAATTTCATTTGGTAACCCCTAGTTCTTGTGTTATGAGAAGGAGTTAATAACACTTCCTTATTTACTTTCTCCCCATTAGTCATGGTTTTATAGACTTCTATCATATCCCCCCTTAATTGTCTCTTTTCCAAGCTGAAAAGTCCCAGTCTTACTAATCTCTCCTCATATGGAAGCTGTTCCATACCCCTAATAATTTTTGTTGCCCTTTTCTGAACCTTTTCCAATTCCAATATATCTTTTTTGAGATGGGGTAATCACATCTGCATGCAGTATTCAATTAGACAATGGCTGGAGTAAGTTGCCGTACTGTATTGCTTCACTGCAGTTACCATAATGCATGAAGATACCCATATTTGATTTATTCCATCCCTTAAATTAACAGTGACTGATATTACGGCCACTTTCCAGGGGCTGGTTTTAATAATTTAGGTACATGAGTGCTTAATTTGTGCCAGGGCTGAGCCCCGGCATCTCTAGGGTTGGCAGTTCATAGCCCCAGCATCTCTGAGCTTGCCCCATCAGTTATGAAAGTAAAAAACTTGCTTGAGCCCCAGCACCTCTTGCATTACAAATTAAGCACCGAGGCACATCTATTAACAACAGTCTTCCTGGGACTTACCTTTAAGCTTACTTTTGGGCTTACCCAAATGCTTCAGCTAGTTCAAAATGAGCAGGACAGACTGAGAAGAACATGTTACACCACTGCTCTGTACTGGCTGCCAGCTGTAATTCAAGGTCCTGGTCACAAACTAAAAAGATTTTAGGTATTTGGGTCCCCGTTATCTCAGAGGTTGAGCTATGTTTTTGGAGGGAGCATTCTGGCGGTCTGTCTCACAAGGGTATGAAGCCAATGACAGTGAGGGACAGGGCTTTCTTAGCAGATCCTCCCTTAGGGAACTGACTCCCACTAAATATCTGAGCCCGAACCCAGCAACCTTTACAGCACTCTGTAAGATGAATCTCTTTGTTTAGGCTTTTCAATAAATGCAGTTCTGTTAATGGTATCTAGGTCACCAGTTAGGTTTCCTAATTTAGGTTTCTGTACAAAATTGTGTTGCTTATGCTGAAGACATAGAGTATATGGTGCTAAAATACCTCAAGGGGTAGAATGTAGGATTAGCAGAGAAAAGATCTTTTTTAACCATCACAGGGAAATATCCCATGTGGATTGTGAGGCTATATTAGTTAGCCCATTCTTTTCTGCTGGAGGCACCAGGCAGAGAGGTGTACAACCAAAGACCATTATGGGTTTTTGTAAGCAGAGCTGGGGCCAAATGCAAAGGAGCCATTCTTCACCTGAGGGCTTTGTCTACTAGAGCATTTTTCTTAAAATTTCCCAAGGGTGGGAATATCTACAGCATTGCTTTAACAACAACATTGGCATGCCAGGAATTAAATCAGGTCCAACAGCAGTTTGTAGATACTATTAGAAGAATAATACAACTACAATATCAAGCCTCACTTGCATTTCATATCAAATGATCCTAACTCTATTCATTTTATGAGCTATAGTATGGGCACGTATCTCAAGGATAAGTGCATCAAGTGATGACACACAGGGATGAATTATGTGACTTCAAATACTATATTGTGTGTGTGAGTCATTATGCTCATTGGCACAAGTGAGAGTGAATGAGAGAAGGTGCCAGCCAAGGAAAAAAGCAAGGAGGCTGCCAGGCCAGGCAGCTATTTTTGTAAAGCAGGCACTGAAAGAACCATCCTCGTCACGGCTTCAGGCTTGGACTACTTCCAGGAACCAGTAGTGGCACACAGACCTCACAAGCTCTGCATCTTCTCCTTGCATATGAGAAGAAACTCCAGTGAGATCCTCATGTCCCTGATGCCAGCTCCTGCAGCAGTCCAGGCCTGTGCCTGTGTAATGATTGGTTCTTTCCGCAGTCTCACAGGCAACCTCCTGGCCTGGCAGCCTCCCCTTCTCCTTCCCTCCCTGGCTGGATCCTTGTGTCTTTGTATGACAGAAACACACCAGTCACACTCCCAGAAGCAGGTAGGGTGGCAACCTCTGAGGTACAAAAAACTAGGACTTCCAGCGTTATTCTGAGCCTATAAAAATGGACAGCTGGCAGTTGGTACTGAGTACCCTTACAGATTTCCCCGGACAGCTACCTCAGAAAAGGGACAATTCTGGGAAAACAGAAGCATGGGATTTCAAACTCAAGGAAGTCTTGAGCATCGCATAGGCTACATTTGAGGGGGATTATGTTAAGGATTATCATAATTTTTGCCATTATTCTTCATAATTGTACATTTATTCTTCAGCAGAAGCTGAAGTTATAAAATCTTCTCATAAAGAACTGCCCTTTTAAAAAATGGCTGTGTCTTCCACTGTTCTCAAAGGGATTGAAGCCACAGGCTGTTCTCAGTTAAGATGGTTACCACCTCCACTCACCAGTTCCTCACAGAGTTCTTCTCCACCTCCTGACACCACAAGGGGCCACTGTCTTCCCTGAGGGCAGCTTGACTTCACTCCCATAGGAGGAAAGATGACATCCCCTCTTGAGGACAGCCTGTGGCCTCAGTCCCACTGAGAACAATGAGAGATCACGGCCATTATGAAAAAGGACAATGCTCCATGAGCTTCACTGAAGATTTTAATTCTTCAGCCTCTGATGAAGAATAACCTTCAGTTACAAAATCTAACAGCAAAAAATTACCATTAACTAAAAAAAATAAACAATTCTTCAAATGTAGCCTAGGCACAAGATTTCAGAGGGTTTTAATTAAATGGGAAGTTTAACAAGTTTGCATTATTCTATTACAGAGATCATTCAAGACCAAATCAAAGTGTGGCTTAAGGTGCTAAATTTCTTAGAGGACTCATTTTAAATCAATTTTAACTTATAAATTAACAGATTTACTTGGAAAGATTTACTTGGAAAGCTTATGCTCAAATAATTTTGTTAGTCTCTAAGGTGCCACAAGTACTCCTATTCTTTTTGCAGATTTACTTGGAAATTCTCAGAAAATTCAGTCTATACTCAAAAGAGTAGGTGCTGTAAATGTGGGGAAAATAACCTGTATTTTTTCATCTATTACAAAGAGGTTGAATCCCACTTCAAGTGGAAAACTCAATTCACCCTTACATATGGAGCTGCAACTTGTGCCTCCATAACAATAATACACTCCTCATCTCCCCAGAAGCAGAGGATTGCAACCCCTCTATTTCAAGTCAGCAATCAAGTAGCTAGTTCCTTGCATGTGTTCTCCTTAAGCTGGAAAAGGCAAGGGACAGGGCATTGGAACATTTACCCAGTGGACTGTCCCAGCATGACTGCCTCTCCCCTCCACCCCACTTTTTGATCCATAATCAAAAAAATCCAAATCCCACAGTCTTTTGCTTATGGTGGGTCACGGGAAGATTTTTTTTCAGCTATTTTGTGACTGAAGAAAGCTTCAGAACCACCAGCCTTCACACTCATAGGGAGCCCCTAAACCAGCAGTTCTCACACATTCACTGGGATCCAGCTGGAGCCCAGGTAAGGGAAAGAAGAAGTAGCTTGTTGCCTGCAACTCCTTCTTATAGCTGTGGCTGCAGTGGCAGCTGCCTTTGCCCTTATTCTACTCCTACCACCCTTCATCCAATCTGAGAAGGGCTGTTCGCTTTGCCCACAATGTTTGTCTCTGAGACACGGCTCAGACAGGGCTGTAATGGAGCTGGTTTTGTCACCCCTCGTAGCAGTGGTGCTTTTCAACAGAATTTTAAGGGGATTCTAATATCTTTCACAGATGCTTTCTATTTATCGAATAATTCTAATTCCATTGAGGGATCCAATTTAGACTTTAGGTGTAGCATTTTGCTTAAATACTGGAGCTGAATACTGTGCAAGGAGAAATGGAGGGGAAGGAGAAACCTCCCCACCCCAGGAGCACCAATGTCCCCCTCATTCCACAAGCCACCCATCCCAGGAGAACCAGCCCCACCTCAGGCCAGCAGCCTTCCTCACCCCCATTCACTTAGCGCCACACCTGACAAGCTCCAACCTCCCCCACATTTTGTCTGACAACTCTTACAATGGCTGTGACCCTAACTCTACCATCCTTTGGATATGGCAACGCTGCCTCAAGTGACAGCAGAGCCCTCATGCCCACAGAAGAGCCCCAACTGGCAGTGGGATCCTTGCACACACCCTGATGCCCTAAGGCTTTAAGCAACAGTGAGGCTCTCCCCACCGCAGTGAGCCCCTAGGCTGCTCTCAGCCATGTAAGTAGAAGCCTTGGAACAGTGAGGCAACACTAGCACTGGGCGGGGCCAGCTGCAGCTGCCACTCACCCAGGCCCATTGTGAGGTGACAGTTGGGGTGAGGCAGGACGGGCTCCAGGGTGTAGCTGGGCGGGGCCTAGTCAGGCAGGCCCTATAGGGACCAGCAGAGGGCTCCTCTCTGGCTACCAGCAGTGGGTGGTTAATGTGTGGGCTGCTCAAGCCAGGGGGTTACTTGCAGGCCTCTTTGTCTCTTTCTCCCCAGAAAATGACTGGCCTTCAGGTCAACCTCAGCCCGCTGCTGGAGCCACTTGGCTTCATGAAGGTCCTTGAGTGGGTGAGTCTGGAGTAGGGTGAGCTGGGGGGGTTGGTTTTTCTTACAGCAGCTGAGCTGTAAGGGAGCGAAAGGCCCAAGAGTCCTCCCCTCAGGTCTCTCCATTCCCCTTGTAGGTTGCAAACTCCCCAGCTGGGCTGGGCTTGTAGGGAAACAGCAGCCTTTTCTATGGGGTAGGGATGTTGATGAGGCCAAGCGCTTGCAGGCGTGGGCTTGGGCGTGGCCTGGTTGGTGAGGGGTTTCCTGGCTCTCCAAGGTGGCGGTGCCTCAGAGAACTAGCCAGATCCCTTATTATCCACTACAAGTATTTTCACCACAAAATAACTTCTTGGCTGGTGTTTGTGACAGAGCTGTGCCTGCCTCACCTCATTTAAAGAGAAACCAGTATAACTGCAGCATATTTGTGCCACTGGGGTGTCTGTGTGGTGGGTCTTCTGTCTGTTGGGGTGAGGAAGGGGAAAACAAGAACTATTGACCAAGATCTATGAAGAAACTCTGCTTCCTGTCAGTGGAAGCCTTGGGCCTGTATTTTTGTTGCTGGTTTCTTGGGCAGTGGAGGTTGGGAGGGGAATGTTAATAAATAATGTTCTAAGCACAGGTAGCTTCCACTGATGTGAAGTTGGAGTTGTAGGGGGCTGGCATCTCTGAAGCAGGCCCTGTTTCTCTGGGTAATTGCCCATGTGTTTTGCTATCTCACCAACGCTAATTAACAAAGGCAGGGAAAGTTAAAAATTCTCTATTTTAAAAGCAGACCTCTCTAGGTATTACAGATGCCTTGGATTAGTGAAACTAAAATTAAAATCTTTATCTTTATTTTCTTTAAAGTTGGTGAGTGTAAAAAAGTAAAATAAGGACTACTAGTTTTCACTATTGGATTAAAGTTGCTTTCACTCTTTTCTTTAGACTGTAGTGGAGTGCTTAAATCCAAACCACCTCTCTTTGAAATGGAAAAAGAGTAATTCTGGTGAAACTTGACTGTACTACTTGTAGAAAAATGCTGTGGCAATGAGAATGCTTGTTTGAATCAGACCTTTGCTGATGGAGCACTATACACTAACTCTTATTTGGGAATGTTGAAATAATTTAATACAAATGTGAATAAATGGTGTCTTCCTCCCATTATTGACTGTACTAGATTTCACAAAGTCTGAGAATACTAATATATTGTTTCAATTTTTATAGATTTTTTCCATCTTTGTTTTTGCCACCTGTGGAGGTTATAAAGGTACAACTACAATTTTAGTTTCTTGTAAAGGTGTTGTGAACAAAACAGTTACAGCTGCTTTTGCTTATCCATTCAGGTGAGTCTATTCTTTTACTTCCTTACTGTCCTCACCACTGCCCACTAATTTTATTGGATTCACTTGTTACCCACTATAATATGGATAAATCTACCTTTTTTTTAAAGTCCTCTCTTATGCTAATTCAAACATCCTGCAATGTGTAGTCTGTTTTTGAGAAATCAGGGCACTAACGACTGAAAGCATGTTTGTCTCCATCTCTATGCAGATTATGTGGCTGGGAAAAGAGATTCAATTGCCAAATTGAAATATACACCTTCTTGATGACTATCATGAGCTGAAAGCATTTATTTTAGTGGTGCATGAATCATTAAACTATCTCTAGATTTTAAAAAAAAGTTACCCTTCATGTTGTCTTCATTTTGTCTCAATACTAAAGTACTGCTGATCCTTTAAACAGAATTTTAAGGGGAATTCTAAAATCTTTAACAGATGCTTTCTGTTTATCGAATAATTCTAATTCCATTGAGGGATCCAGTTTAGACTTTAGGTGTAGCATTTTGCTTAAGTACTGAATAGGAAAGCTCACCTGGCATTATGTGCACCAGCAGCTGATTTCTATATGAATATGGTCAACTAAACTTGGTAGTTGCCCATAACACATTGAAGCAAAGACAGAACAATATTTCTGTGGGAATATGAGAGGGAGACTAAAAAACACTTGACTGGAATCCCAGCCAAATATAAACAGCAAGGTTCAGAGAAAAATAGGGAAGGAAGAAGAGTGACCCTTCCTCCCCTTTCCCAGCATCCAGAAGGGGTCCTAATAAACATAGGCCTCAATCCTGTAAACTGCTGGACAGGTATCAAGGGCTGTAGCTGCACAGAGCAGGCTATGGGATTGGAGCTTTAGCAGATGCTGATGGTTAGTGAAGGCTAGTATAAAAGATCAAGACTCCCTGCCCCAAGTCAACATCCAGAGGGGGCAAATCTATTGTGCTGTCCATTCAGTAACCCACTAGGGTTGAGTTGAATCTCTCAGCAGAACTGCTGGGAGCCTAAACATTTGCATTTACCTACAGCTAATGATTTAACCCTGTGGCTGGCAAGCTCTCATCTAGCTGTTTCAGCTTAGGCTGGCACACTTAAATTAAGTACAGTTAAATTAGGCTTGTTTCCAAGTCTGAGAGGCTTAAACTTCAACTTTCAGGTTCTGAGTTAATCTTCATTTGTAACTTCTATTTAAGTGTGGTATGCCTTGTGGCAAAATCTAAGTCTTTAAGGTGGGGAGGGGACTATAGAGAGTATTCTGCAACTTGAGTTGCTAGTCAATGTATTCATCTAAAGAATGCCTTATGCAGTCGGAGTGTTGATGGTTTTGTTCTCATAAAATGCTAAGATACTGAAGTTTCCCCTTGTGCAAGAAAGTCTTGCTATGGAAAATGCACTGTCTTTCCCCCACAGGTTGAATACAGCTGTGTTTAGTGCACCAGATCCAACACGATGCGGTGGCACTTGGACTGACTTTCACCTTGTGGGCAACTTCTCCTCTTCTGCACAGTTCTTTGTAACTTTTGCAGTCCTGGTATTCCTTTACTGTATTGCTGCCCTTGTACTATATGTTGGGTACATGCACCTGTATCAGAACACTGGCAAAATCCCATTGATTGTAAGTAACTAACACTAAGCTATTTTCATCTTTTTGTTTTTAAAACCACTGAAAGGAAAAATGACTTCTGCTCAGCACAGACCTGTTTAAGTGACAATTAAACTTAAATTGTCACATTGTGGTGCAGTGTGGAATGGTTTAAAATCACTTGGGTTTATTAAACTTTGCTAATTTAAAAAAATAATAAAGTTGCTGCTTTTTAAAATTAAGTTGAAAACTGTTGCCACTACAACTTTTAGATTAAAATATAAACAAACTAAATTGATAAATGGTATGGAATTTTAAAATATTTACTGGAAGGGGTTCTTTATTAATCTTAACAAACCCAATGTAAGCAAAAAGGAAAATCAAAGATGAAGGCACAGATCCTGCAAACTCTTTAACTGGTGTGTAACTTTACTCACATGAATTCCACTGACTTCAATGGGACTGCTCATGCTAAAAGCTAAGTACGTGCATAAGTGTTAGATTTAGCCCCTGACACTGCCATCTTCTTTAACTTGTAGTGGCAGAAAATATTACTTCAAAACAAAATTGACTCAGCGGCAGCACTAAAAAGTTACTTTCAATAAATCAATGACACTATTATGAATTGTGTACAGAAACAGGCATACACAAAAATAGGAGCCTAACGTTTGCTTATAAAGATTTGTTTTGGGGGAGGGTGCTAGATGCATTAAAACAAGACACACAAGTAACTTAACACAAGTCACATTGACTTCAAACTGCAAAACGGGACAAAGGAATGTAGCCTGGTCAAAGCATTTCAGATTTCTTGACTTGTGGAAGTTCAATATATTGAAAGGAGTTGTTCGCTGCAGACCAACTTTATTGCTCTGTTTATCACAGTAAGGACGTTAGCGAGGCCTGGACTTGTTTCAGCACAGATAAGCACTTTACAAGTTTTCTTATTAAGAAGTTTCACATATCATTTGAACTTTTAACAACTGGGAGACAAGTAAAGAACTTCCACTCTACCTCCTTTTTCCATTTTACAGTCTTTAAATTGCTAAAAAACTAACGTAAATAAAAACAAGCCAATTTTAGTTTAAAATTATTATCCTTCTTTGACTGAAATCTTCTGACTAGTTAGTTGTAATCATGAATAGGCATTAAATACTTTAACAGATTGGGAATCTTAATACAAGTATGGTTCACAGAAAACAGGCATTCCTATTGATTGCTGCAGATTTAAATGACTAAGAATATAGGACCTGGATTCTGCAGTTGGGTCTACATTGGTGGCTGGGTGGAGACCATGGAACCCTGTGGTTTCCGAAGTTTGCATGTACAATCTGATTGCAAAATGTAGGCCTAAGTCTGCGGTGTGAAATACATGCAATAAGTTTAGACACTTATGTTTTAAATGTGCTTGTGAAGGTCATCTGATCTTTCCTTTCTTTGTAAAATGGCTATAGTCAGACTTTTTGGGGTTTCTGCTTAAAATAGCAAAACTAGTAAATTAAGTCTTAGTCTAAAGGGTCACAGTCAATTTAAATCTCACTTTAAATATGAAAATATTTCCCCTACTAGTGTTACTTTTAACACCTAAAACTACAGAAAAATATTTGAGGTAACTTGACAGCTCTCTGGATATTGTCAATTCTGCAGTTTCCTCTGTACAGGCTTTTTCACACATCAACAAGAGATGCAGTTTTGTTTTGTGTTTGTTTTTTTGTTTGTTTGTTTAGGGGCAGAAAGATTTAGGGGTCAGATATACCACCTAAAACTACTTCTTTTAATTTAATGTCCATATTTTAATTTTTACTACCCAAACTTAAAGTGCCATTTGGACAAATTGGAAATTGTGAGACACAGTGAAAGTCTCCCGGGCCACCAAGTCCTATCTGTGAAGGTGGGCCTTGTGTCTAAGGGCTAAACGAGAAAGGGCTGTGTTAGTATAGTTAAAATGGCAAACCTCCTCACCTACTTCCATGTGTGGATGCAATTTTAATGGTATAAAAGTACTTCTATAGGCATAGCGTTTTCTTTTTTTCGCTTCCCAAAATAGAATAAGCTATATTGGTATAAGGCACCTTTTAAATCAGTAACATCTTAGTGCTTATACCAGTATAACTGCGTGTGTATATATACACACACACACTCCTAACTGACATGCTGTTATAACTCTTCCAGTGGGTCAGGCCTGGGACTTGGCTTGGAACCCAGATATTAGCTTTTCCATAGACTTTGAGTGACCTTAGGCAAGTGACTTTTTTTTTTCCAGCCTCACGGGGATTTTGTAAAGATAGTCACTACTGTATAGACAATTCTCTGAATAGTTCAGAGTCTACATATTGGATGACTTAAAAACTGCAGCACTTCAAACAGCAGAATGACACTTTTCAGCTGTCAGTGTACCAAGAGATTTAATATTAAAAATATCAGTACTGCGTTCTCAAGCACAATTTGATTCTCCTGAGCCTCTGTGCCATTTCTGGGGGGGGGGGGGTGAACATTTAGGATAACTTATCACACTGAACTGTACCTAACATTCTGCCCATGTTTTAAATAACTTTTGGGGGGTGCAAGCCTTCAGATTAGAGAGAGGTAGACTTCTTCTATCTGAATTGTGTTGACAAATTGTAGTAATTGCTTGACTACGTTTGGTTAGTTATTTTATAATGAAATATACTTAGACTAAATAACCAGCATCAGTCAGGTTTATTAATGTGGTAGGTACAGGAAAAATGTTCTATACAACACCAGTCTCCCCAGAGCAGTCCCGTGCAGCGATATTACGTTCACCTTACACAAAAGGTGTGCTCCAAGTTGTACATTTCAGCTGAAATGATTTGACAAGTTACACATTTCTTTACACGTCACTTAAATCCAACCCATCAGTTTGTTCCAGTTCCCTAACTTGTTTTGTTCCTTATCTTTCTTTTGGATACTAGCATTTCAGGCACTGATATGTGAAGGTACTTCCTTCCGTAGCTTGTGCTAAGACACAGAATGAATGTACCTTGATTTTTACAAGTTTCCTGTCTGCTTATTCCAAATGGTTACTTCAGCAAATGCAAGGTGGTGTGGGATACTTGGCATAAGTGAACAGGATTATGGTATAGGCAGTTTAGGCTAAATTACTGTTACAGTATTTGTGATTAATGTTTGTACTAATGCATACTAATATGGTGTGGATAATACACACTGTATTATATCAAAATATGCTAGCCAGCATATTTTAGTCACAACTGCTAAGTTGAATGTCTATAACCTTTTTTAGTATAGAAGGGGTGTAGACAGTTCTGTAGTCCAGTTACAGTACTGTCTGTGTAACTTTTATATTGTGCTCAGAAAGAAAACTAGTATCTGAGACTGCCTAATTAAACTGGCTTAATATGTTTTCACAGGTAAGTCAATAGCTATGGACCTGAAGAAGAGCTGTGTTTAGCTCAAAAGCTTGTCTTTCACCAACAGAAGTTGGTCCACTAAAGATATTGTCTTTGTCACTGTCTAATAGTTACCTAACTCATTGTCTAATAGCTACATATGCCAGTGTTGTATCTTGACTGTAAGTCTGATGCATTTTTTTCACTTTTCCCTTAACTGGAAAATGTGTTTAATTCTCTTGTGGAAGTGGTAATTGACAGTTGTCTTTTGGTATAGGACTTGGTTATTACTGTCATGGCTGCTTTTCTGTGGCTGGTCAGCACTTCAGCCTGGGCTAAGGCACTTACTGATATAAAAATATCTACCGGTCCCAGCATTGTTCAGGAGATTGCATCTTGCAAATTACCAGGATCAACTTGTTTGTTTGCCTCTGTTACCAGCATGGGAACTCTGAATGTGTCCGTGGTACGTATGTCAAGAGTTATAGCATCCTTACCTTGCTTGTATTGCACCTGAACTTACAATACACACTTTATGGTATTCTATGTAGCACCCATTTTTTAGTTTTACTGAAATTCCGTCATGGGTTACCAGTCATGCATGATGCTCATCCTAAGGCAGAGCACTCAGAGGCAGATTAAGGTTTCCTAGGGCCCTGGGCCAGAGCAAGTGGGGGGGGGCCCTCCCCACCCCTTCCACCTATGGTCTCACCCCTATTTTGCACCCGATCCAGCCCCTGCACGTATGACCTCGCCCATGGCACTCCTTTGTGCCCCTTCGCCGGGATCCTGCCCATTCCATCCCCAAACTGCGGCCCCAAGACCAGAGAAGCTCTGTTTCCCCCACCGTGGCCCCAGGCTCCAGCAGGTAGCAAGAGCTCCTCCAGTCCTGGGGCTGCAGCAGGGATCCCTGTTCTGGGGCTTCCCGTGCTCCCCCTGGCTTCTGCTGGGGATGGGGTTGGGGGGCACTAGGGGCTTTAGGGGCTTCCCCTACCTCCACACCTGGCACAGCTACCAGGGAACAGGGTTGGGGGCATGGGGGCTTTTCCCACCTGCCCAGGGCTCTGGGGTCCCCCGGTTGGCCGAGGCCCCTGGGCATGAGCCTCATAGGCCCAGTGACTAATCTGCCGCTGAAAGCACTAACCAGAGCAACAACTGTTTCCTCTTAAAACCATTCTTGGCAAATCTGTGTAATTTAATTTGCAGAAAGATATCTTTCAAAGTCATTTGGGAATCTCTCTTCCAGGCACCTTTCTCTTAAGCTTCCACATTACTTCTCTCCATAGCCACTCTCAGCGAGTGCGATTTGTCCAGTAACTTTATTGAAATTCATGTGGGGTGTCTCTGGTAGGAGTAAACTAGCTACTGCCTGACATTTATCTATCGAACCTGGCCTTTGTAGTAACTGTTAACCTTCTTCGCATACCCCAAAACAAAGAGATTTAAGGAAAGCTCTTTTTAGGGGCTGGGAACTGCACAGTATTCTTGTGGTGATAGATAACAAGCTTCTCCCCTATTCTCCCCCTTTACTAAAGCATAAGGAGTGTGGCCAAGAGTACATTGTATTAAATTGTAAATCTGGGTTCAAAAGTGATCTTACACTTGCTCACTAGGCCAGTGGAGATCACATGCTTAATCCCTTAATGCATGCCTGCAGTTTCCATTCAATGAATGGAGGAACTTCATAATTCCTTGCATATCCGTGACTGTGGTCCTACATCTCTATAATGAGGATGCTCATTAGCCATAACTATCACTGCTAACTCATGGAGAAATGGGTCTACTCATTAGTAGATCCCTGTGGAAAGAGGATCAATTAACTTAATATTTAAAGCACTTTGCAAGTATAAATCTCTGAAGGAATGTTGCAAGCCAAACTGTTTTGCCTGCTAGTTTCAAATTTGTGTGCTACAAGAGTTTAATTTTTATAATCTATTTTTAACCCCTGCCCCCCAGGCTTTTGGATTACTTAACATGATTCTGTGGGGAGGAAATGCTTGGTTTGTATACAAGGAGACCAGCTTGCATAACCCATCAAACTCAACTTCCCAAAGCTCAGGAATCTATCCACCTACAACAGGAATATAATTAGTAAGATGATGATGTTGATACTTCATAAAGAGCATCTATTTTGCATCCGACGGCCAACAACTTGAAGTCACTGCAGTTTTTTTGTAGTAATGAATAGTTTAAACAAATTAGTGGGTAAACTTCTGCTTTGTACTTAAAGCATGTCTCACAGAAATATGGATGTAAATTTTCAAGTGTTTTACAGTGAAATATATTATGACTCTAAAATGAGTGCAGTTTCTTCATTAAAAATAACAAATTGTTCAGACCCTCCTAAATCTCTTGGCAAATACTTCCTCACACCCACACCTTTTCAGGAAGTGGTTCTAGTTAACATTTGTGGGAAGAAACTGATTTGGATTCTGTAACATGACTGATTTCTCAGTTGAAAAGACTACTTAGCTTAGGATGTTTGGAGTTCCAATATTAAATCCCTCATTCAGAGGTTACCTACTAATAACTTTGCACAGATAAGCTTTCTAAAAAAATATTTAGTCATCTCTGGTAGCATGATTCTGGCATTCTGTAATTTTCTTGTATATTGTTGGTGTTTTTTTGGAGGGGGAATCTAGTATAGACACTTTCTAATGTTGTATTTGCAGATAGACACTTAAGACTTGTTTGGTGTTTATATGTTCATTGTTAATACTTCATGATTCGGGACAATCTTCAAAAACACTTAGTAAAGCTGCAAGTCACACTTCTGTGGCATAATTTAAGAACAGAAGAGTTAAGAAATTTAGGTAGGGTGGGGGTGTTTAAGTGCATCTCAGCTACAAAGCATTGTTCTAAGTTTGAGAGATACTGTAGATGCTAAAGCTGACTCCATCAGTAAACTTATTGTTTTCGATTCAGGTAAATGAATCCAAGCAGAGCAATGGGAGGTGCATAGGACTTACCTACCTAGTGACACAACAGCTGGAGATGTCTGTCTTACTAATCTATACAGGTCTTGTTTAATAGTCAAATCTTGATCCCAGTAAATAGACAGTCTTCCCATGAGATATTTACATATTCAGACATCTGACTTACTGTTACCTCATTTATTTCTCCATGTGAATTGTCCAACAAAGATGCGTCTCATGGTTTCTGCAAACTTTAATAAATATTTAAACAGTTACTGGGGCTATACGCTCTAAGCAGCAAATATTTCTATAAGCTTGCTTTCTTTCTTTCAAAGCTAGGACAGGTGTAATGGTACATACATCTCTTGATCTTTCAGTGTCTTGCCTTAAGTGTCTTTCCATCTGTAAAGATGTAAAAAAAAAAAAATAAAATAAATGTACTGTTGCAAGAACAGCCTCTAATAAAGATGGATTGCTGTAACTTTTAGTCCATATACTCATTTTTTCTTCCTTGCTTGCTTCTGTGAGCAGACTTCCCTCGCAATTCTACCTCTGGCTATGTAGAGGAGGAAGCCGCCTGATGGAATGTAGCAGTAAGAGCAGGACCTTGGCCCAGCTAAAGCAGGATATGGTAGTGTGGGTGGATGGAGAGAGCTAATTGGTAGAGCCCCACAAATCTGCGGATATCCGTGTCCACAGACCATGTTTGTGGATTGCGAATCAGAGGCCAATTCAAATTTTGTATCCACACAGGGCTCTACTAATTGGAACCCATTATGTGCAGAACAAACTGGGATAGGGTGAGTAAAGAAACAGGAACACTGAGATTGGACTCTTGCCTCCTTCAGAGTGTAGGATGAACCTAGTTTAGGGATGAATGTGAAGCACACAGATACCATAGGGATAAGCAGCAGATAAAAGCCCAGCAGAAAATCAATAATTCTGTCTTCAGAGTAGAATTTGAATAGTGTACAGAAAATAAGATGTGACACCTCCTCCCTCCCCCACACACACATTAGTCACTCTTTGACATTTCACAGGTGATAGTCCTGTCTAAGCCACTTTACATATAGGAGAATGAAAATGAAAGCTTGGGCAGAGTGTAGGGGAAATCCCTTTATAAACACAGCTGTGGCTCTTTTCTTTTCTAAAAGAAAGCTATTCAATGGCCATAGTTATTTTCCCAAATAGACCTATTTATTGGCTGCAGAAAACCCCAGTCAGACACTTCTCTAAATCAAACTGGGCCATGTTTGAAGTAATCAAGTAACCTAAACCAAGGACTTGACTTTTCAGCAGTTATTAGTTCTGGCTCACTGCCAAAGTTTAATTCTATCACCACCTTTTCTATATATACCTATTAAATGTTTGCAGGTTAAATATCCTTTTTCAACTTTAACCCAAATTCTCTATTTGTATTATATAATTTTTTTTAAAATCTCCCTTTACAAAGCCTAGCACAATAGAAAAGTGGTCGTGAATTTACCTTTGATTCCAAGGAGAACTTTTTTAAAACAAATGTTCCCCTGACATCTTTACACCTTAAGCAGTGCAGTATTCTGCTGGTAAATGAGAATGTACTTTTTATATTTTTGCTTAAACTGATAGATGTACGCAAAGGAAATAGTATAAATGGTGAAAAGTAAGTCAAAATTTTTAAATTCTTTGTTTCAAGATTTTATTTACACTGTAAGGAAATTTTGTTTTCTTAGGATATATTTTTTTACCCTGACTGTGTCCCTGTAAATTTAATCCCCAGCAAGGGCCTAAACCTGCAAACACTTATACTTGTGCTTAACTTGACTATTGTGAATAGTCCTATTGAAATTAATGCTCATGATGATGCTAATCAGGGCATGATTACAAGAGTGGGTCACAAGGAAGCAGGATTTATTAAATTAGGGCATGCAGAATTGGCATTTTGGAAATAACCTGCAGGTGGAATTAAGCTGTGTCTCCTGTGTTGATTCTTTCACTGTAATGAAATATGGGAAAGAAACTTGCTGTAATTTTGTTTTTAAAATGCTTCCCTAAAGAGTCATTACTGTTCTGCAGTAGCACCCACCATTAGGTGGGCACTTTTCAAATATAAGAGAAGACATGTTCTAAAGAGTTTGCATACTGAATGATAGACAGACAAAATGGTAGAGGAAAAGGCTTCAATAAATACATATTTTTGGTAAAATAAATGGATTTTCACTAAGTGCCCACAACCTAGCCTTAATTAGTGGGTTGTAACAAAGTGAAATAATAAATGTTCTTTTGGCCTCAGACATTAACTACTAAATACAATGCAATTGTCAAGGAATCCCTGGCACCAAGTAATTCAACTGCCTAAGTTGCTTATTTTATTGTTAAGAAAACCAGTTCATTTTTAAACTAATTACTTCAGGACACAAATTTTATACAACTAAATGTCAATAGGTTGTAGCACCCACAGATTTTGACTCTGGGCTGCACTGAAGTCTGCTCAGTGTGACATCTATTCCAGGGTAAATAAGACAAGTTCTTAATTTAATTTAATTATATAACAGGGGTAAGTGGATCTGAGCCACTCTCCTTCCTAGAATAAACATCAGCTGCTTCCCCTTCCATGGCTTTCTGTTCCCCTCCAGAGGGGAGTGTCTGATGTACGCTGCTTGCACTGGCCTCCCTGGTGGAGTCCTGCAAATTGGGGAGGAAAAATTCAAGGCATCATGCCACAGTAGCAGTCAGCCTCTGCAGGGCTGCTGGATGGAAAAGGAACTGCCCTCATTTGCTCAGGAAGCTCACAGGTGGTGGGAAGCCAGTCCTTGACATTTTGCTTTTGAATTTCATCACCTTTGTGCTGGCAGTTGTGAAATGTTTTTGTGTCTTGTTTATGCACTTGTAAAAAGGACCCTCCACTGCCTGAATAGTGTTTTTTCTGACTGTACAAGAAGCACTGAAACTAATAGGAAATATATAGAGGGCCTGATTGGATCATTCTGACAGGACAACAACAGAGCTGGCAAGCTGCCAGATCTCTCCAGGTGAGATTCTCTCAGCATAGGGTATCTCCAGCTGGCAGCAATTTCACCAACATCTGTCAGGGGAGGGAAGCTTCTTTTTTTTTTTTTTGGTCAGGAGGGTGAAAATCCTCTTGCTCATCACCTTTGTTACAGCTTCCTCTAGTGAATCATCATATTAGGGAACTAAAGCTTATTAAGCACCTTTTAAAGAGAGAGACAGAAATCTGAGGTATGAAAACACTTTGGAAGAAAGGGAGATTTGGGTGATGGTTGTAGAGGGGAAAAAAAGAAACCACACGGTCATTTATTAAAGATCTGGGAAAGGATGGATAGTCTTATGAATGGTATCCCCTGTTTAGGGAAGGGAGCCTTCTATGGTTTAGAATGTTCATACTATTGATCTGAGAGCTGGGCCTGTCCCAAAATGATTAAAAATGCACCTGTCCCACTAATTGATTTCCAGAAGAGATCCCTGGGCCTGCCTCAATTGTGGGGCTAGTAAAGCCTGTGTCTCTAAATTGCTGGCTAAGATTTTTGCCACCATGCTGCAGGCAGTGTTGTAACAGCTTAGCCAAGGGAGATTTGGCAAGGTGAGGTTACTGGTTACCAGTTGCCATTTCAAGGAAGTTACTGAATGGAATCCAGTGAGATAACTGTGGACAGGCCCCCAGCATTAGTCAGGCCCCTCGCCCCAGATGTATAGCAGGGAACTCCAAAACACCAGCAAAGGGCCTGCGTTAATAGCAGTTATTTATTTAGACCTATTCTGAGTGGTGTTTTATGACATTGTGGTAAAATCATCTGAGCTTGGTCTACACATGTACTTCCACTGTTACTACCACCAGTGAAGTTGCAATGGTGGGAGATTTCCTAAGAAAGGCTGGTGTAGATACAGCTGGGGAGGCACTGTACTTGCCTTCCTGACATCATCTCCTAATGCCTTACTTGAGTCACAGTCTCCAACACGGTCTCCTGGATGGGAAACCCTGAGAGGAACTCTTTCCTGCCTGCCCCTAGACTGGATCAGGCTTCTGCTGCTAGGGAACTCAGCCCTGCTGTGCTGCACTATGCTGCCTGCGGGTGCACAGTGACCCAGGATTTGGCGCCAAATCCAGCTGCAGAATCCTGGGAAGCTGAAAAGAGAATATACTTCTTGGAGTGGTATTAAGAGAATCACTACTGCCTTCACAAATGACAGATTTCAGAGTGGTAGCCGTGTTAGTCTGTATCAGCAAAAACAATGAGGAGTCCTTGTGGCACCTTAGAGACTAAAATTTATTTAAGCGTAAGCTTTCGTGAGCGAAAACCCACTACATATTTTCCACTCGATGCATCTGATGAAGTGGGTTTTAGCCCATGAAAGCTTATGCCCAAATAAACTTGTAGTCTCTAAGGTGCCACAAGTACCCTCATTATCTTCACAAATGAGGGAGTCTAAGCAAAGCTGTTATTTCCCAGTTAGGCATTCTGCTGTTCCACTGAGTTTATTCTCTACTTCATTTCTTGTGTCAATATTTAGTCTGAGTTCTTTTATAGCAGTTTTACATGGCCCTGTATAACCTAAAACAGATTAGTTATTGCCACATGTAAGGACAGTCCTTATTATTAATCATCATTAAATATTAACCTGAATCATGACAATGATTCAGGAAAATGTTAACACAGGAGCATTGTGTTCCCACTGTTAGGTGTTCTGTTGTGGAGGCGGTGTTAGGGTGACCAGATGTCCCGATTTTAGAGGGACAGTCCCGATTTTTGGGTCTTTTTCTTATATAAGCTCCTATTACTCCCCACCCCCTGTCCCGATTTTTCACACTTGCTGTCTGGTCACTCTAGGTGTGTAGGTTCCTTCAAGTCTCAAAACCAACACTAGGGAATAGGTGACAACTTTCTTTTTTACTGTATGAAATATGTTTCAATCTCATTGGTAAAGTATACACACACACACACACCCCCTCACACACACGTGTTCTAGTGGTTATAACAGGAAACTAGGAGTCAAGATTTCTGAGTTCTATTCTGAAATAGCAAGTTTCTTTCAGTTCTTTGGATGGGGTGCCAGTTCCAAAAGGTTTGCCAGAACTCATCACGGCTCTTTCTACCCAGAAGATTTGCTATACATCACACATTTCATTATGAAACCCATCCAGAGCCAGGAAACGCTGCTTTAAAACCTTTGTGCTCACCTGGGGACAGCAAAAGCCCCTGTTTTTAATTTCACTAACAGGATTATGACAGGTTTCAGAGGAACAGCCGTGTTAGTCTGTATTCGCAAAAAGAAAAGGAGTACTTGTGGCACCTTAGAGACTAACCAATTTATTTGAGCATGAGCTTTCGTGAGCTACAGCTCACTTCATCAGATGTTTACCGTGGAAACTGCAGCAGACTTTAT